CTACCAGCAGGTGAAGTATAGAAGGGTGCACAAACGGAAACAACAACGGCCTGCGCGAGTCTACAGCACCGGCACGGCGAGACGTTATCTTCTTATGTGTTCGGTCGTCTTGCCTGTTTTTGCAGTTGTTTCTGCTGCTGAGGAACAATACTACTTGCTCGCTGTCCTAGTCTTTTGGGTCGTCCTGGTGGGGTGCTTAGCGGTCCCGAGGGGGTCGCATCTCTGCACCAGTTGTGGACCACTATGTTGCAGTAGATACACTTTGTGATGTTTGTCGTCGCGGGCAGACCGCATCTGCACAACGGCACACGAGCAGAGGCAGAAGTGGAATGATATGTAACGGAGCCTCTTGCTTTTACCTACAATAAACTCGAAAAAAAAAGGACAGCGGGATATGGCTCGATTGGGTCAGCGGAACACTGGACTCGTGTACAGATACGCAAGCCATCAGAAACGATTATCGACCTTGTAATTGATCTCGCCTCTCGAATTAGATGGCAAGAAAAATAGGACAGGTTGCAAACATGCCAGCAGATGTAAACCATGCACCTCCTTACCCTTCACAGAGTAAGCTGCGGAGCCAATCCCTGATGAACAAGCACGGGGTGGGTGGAGGGTGCAGTGTCTCCAAAGTTCGACCCACGTAAGGCCTAGGCATTCTTCCCGCCGTGGTTCTCTGCGCAGCCTCCAAGGCTTGTTCCTGCAGAGCCTGCCGTAGAGTAGACAGCGCACCCGACAACCCAAGCATCCAACGAGATTGGCGTAGTGCTTTCCTGGTGATTGAGACTCATCGGGGCGAAGTCATCCACGGTAATAAAGTTGGCGTTTCTGCCCGCCACAGGTATACAATCGAAAAGGTCCGGGACGTCAACGTAGCTGGTGTTCCGAGGACGTCGCGCACGTGCCTCCGTTTTCACATATTTTACTGTCTAGCATGTTTCTTCGTAGTTCGACTGGCATTTGCAAACAGACAACAATATGTTTCTCTCCAATATCTGAAATCTTCGCCGATTCGAGCGGACCTCAAGAGCCTCTGTCAGAATACCTTCTTCACTTGTGGCGGCTTCGAGAGGCGTTACAGCAGTCGAACGACGAGCATTTCTACCACTTCCCCACTACCCCTATCATGCGCCTGCGATGTAACGCGAATGTCTCCAATTCTGTCTCACCACAGCACCAAGAACGAGGGACGGGTACAGTCTTACTTCCATCGGTGGTTGAAATGCGATGAATGCGCGGCGCTTTCTCGGTTCTCCTTCCTAAACCTACCAAACTACAACGTACAACTCTTACAACAGTCTACAGCCCAGGCACGTTTGAGTGAACCCACCGCTAATTTCTCCGGATGCGTCTCCTGCTTCTCAAGGTACATGTGCTTCCAATACCCTTTGGGTCGGAGCTGCTTCGTCGCCAATACGGTATTGAGCGGGAAACCTGAGCGTCGGACGGCGGACCGTGCCTACATCCCACGCGGAGAAGGTATCAGTCACACGATGATGCACCCAAGAATATGTAGTAGGAGGCCGTGAGAAGACAAACAGAGAAGGGTTCAACAGACCGGCGGGTAAACATTCGTCAGGCAGACGTTGCACTCTTCGTAGCCTCACCTTGTGTCCAACTCATCACAGCCGCGCCGAGAATGATGATAATCCTGCACTCACTGGCACCAAGGCCCTCCCAAAACCATTGTAGGTCATGGAGGCCCGGGTACGTACGTGAAAAATTGCACAAACATGCTGCGGCGCGTGATTGTGTGACACAGTCCCGGAATTATAGCAATTGCCAACGTCCAAATGGGGCTGCCGTGGGCATGAATAATCAAGGCGCTCGTTCCAAAGGACCCGTCATTATTCGGTCTTCCCTCGATAACGTTGGGAACTACTGTACAAGACTTGCACTGTACATGTTTATACAATTGCACATTTACAAAAGAGTTGTACTGTAGTACTGGTACAGCTGTAGTACTGGTACAGCTGTAGTACTGGCGTCAGATGAGGCATTCCACGAAAACAACAACAACAACAACAACAACAGCAACAGCAGCAACAACAACAACAACAGCAACAACAACAACAACAACGAGGAGAATGGAAGGAACATAAGGCGATCAGTCATGTCAACGCAAACACGAATAGTCTAGACTACATTGTTACCTCTCGCACTTCATGGTTTGCGCTTGATCGATGATCTCGCCGTTCGATCATACGGAGGGAGGGTTGAAGCTTTAGTAGATGGTGAAGGCCGGCGATGTCTCCTACCGCCCAACTCTGAATCGGCTCGTGCCTCTGTGCCGTGGTACAAGTACACACTCCAGACTCCAGTCTACACTATGCAATAATTCGCCGCCAATCGGTCCCGAAACGAAACTTGAAAAAATCAGAACCGATTTGATTGGTTCGGGCCGATCGGTTTCGGTAACCCTAACCCTAACCCTAAGGACGTTAGGACGTTAGGACTCCAGGACTCAAGGACTCTAAGAATCCAGGAAGAGCGGGGCATTTGTAATGTAATGTACCGGGACGGAGGTGTTGGAGTTTAATTACGCGGGCGAAGCCCGCGAATACATGTGTGAACCCCATCTATCTGCGGGCCGCACGCCGCTATAAATCAATTTATGAAACGAAGGAGACACCAGAGCAGAGGTGTAGTCACCGCGGCAGCAAAGGAACACCTTGCATATGCTGCCATGTGGGTTGTCAACATATACATATTCATTACCAAAACGCATCGCGATTGACGATTGATGGTGATTGCTTTGGGGCGTTCATTCCGGAAGAGAGAAGTGCCAGGTATCATCACCACATTATTACTTGACGCGGTCTAGCGGGAGGACAGGCGTGCAGACGATATACTGTAATACCATTCACGGATCCCTTGGTGTGGGTACTACTGCTATGCTGTGCTGTTGTGGTCTAGCTCGATATAAACAGTCGCGTGTGCGTGTGTGTGCGATTTCCGTTTTTTCCTCGCTGTTTTCAAGGCTATTATAATAGCTGTTTGGGCTGCTGCTGCTGCAAATTCGCCCTCTATCATCGTAAGTAAGTGCTGCTAGAGTGTTCATGCCTTCGTGCTGCGGCAATCACACCACTCATCTATCCCTTGCTCTCTCTAGGGCGAGCTCCCTACTACATAGACGATGCAAGCCCGTTCGGCGTCATGCCCACAGAGTACTCTAGTCGGTCACATGTCGAACTGCTACAGCAACACTGCAAGCCGATAAATGTTGTACAATTGTCAGTGCACAACAAGCTTTAGAACCCCCGGGACGGATCAAAAGACGAAGGGGAGGGGAGCACATCCGCCCAGAGTATGTGCGACTCTTCCCGTTCGCTCGAGTTGCCATTTATTATGTGTGTCTCCATACAATTCCCCGCCTTATGCCGCCACTAAGAACATGGCTTCCCCCTCGACGAAACCAAAACGCACCGGGAGGAAGCACGAGTGGTAACCCCACCCTTCCTTCTCTCTCGCCAGCACAAAACTCCGTCCAGCACGCAAGCTGGCATTGGCCGCGCTACAAAGTTTGGAAAAATTTTAATGTACTGGGTTTTAGGAGTTTAATTACGCGGGCGAAGCCCACCAATACACGGTGAAACCCATTCATCTGCGGGCCTCACGCTTTCAAAATGTTGCACCTCACTCAATGAATCAATGAAGGAACGGAGACACCAGCGCAGAGGTGCCGTCACCGGGGCAGCAAAGAAATCACCGTGCAGATACTCTGCCATGCGGGTTGTCAACATACCGACGCGTCGGGATGGATGATTGATGCCGATTGCTTTGGGTGCTGGGGTGTTCACTCCAAAGAACCTACTTGTACAGATAGATACTACTGTAGATAGGAGTTGATAGGAGTGAAGAGAGCAACGGGGAGGTGCCAGAGCATCATCATCACGTTATTTGTAGTGTTCTGCCGAGAGGACGGGCGTGCAGATGATATAAAAGCATGCATGGATCTCTGGGTGCTGCTGTGCTGCAGTGGCTCGACAAAAAATATTCGCATGTGTGTGCGTGATGCGTGCGTGCGTGCGTGTGCGTGTTTGTGCGGTCTCCCTCTCCTCGCTGTAGCTCTTCCGCCGGGTGCTGCTGCTGTGCGTGCTCGTCTTTGTCAATCAGCGTGGATTGACATTGCGAAACTTGGTGCACACAGGGACCTTCTTGGCATCTGCACACCGCATTCGACCCAACCAACCAGTTCACGACCAACACACATACATCAGCCAGGAGCCTGAGCGCTGCCACCGGCGTATACCACACGCACACAGTAGGATAGAACCAGCAGCGACCACTGTGCGCACAAGATGAAGTTGTGCAACGTTGATCCACACTGAGTGTCGATGACGAACACGCAGCAGCAAACCGGAACCTCGCGATGCCTTTGCACTATGTAGTTGAGTTGGCCCATATTGTTTTGTGAACAATGCGGCTCAACGTCAGTTTTGCTGTTGTGCTGTCTCCTGCCATACCATGTCGAGCGATTCCTTGATAGTCTCTTCGTTAGTACTGGACTACTCGTGTTGCGTATGCGCACTACCAGTCCTATTGCCTGATGAATTCGGCACTTCATGCTTGGGAGCAGCATGTACGGTGAATGGCCCTCGTAGTGCCGGCAGCGAAATAGTCAGATACTGAAGTTGACTCTTGGCCCAAGCCCGTGGTTTCTCAGTCCCTGATGCGAGCCCTCTTTACGCCACGCGACCAATACCAACAGGAGCAAGCTGGTTGTCTGTCAAGGCACATCACTCTAAGAGGGCTATCCACGCGTACCAGTATGGATGAAAGGTGAGATCTTTTTCAAACCCTTCAGTTCTCTTCTAACACAGATATCATTCCGTGTGATACATGACCTACTTCTACACAGCCACACATGGGCTCTCGTCTCCTCGAAATGCCAAGCGTTCGCGTGGCAGAATATTGCAAAAAGTGCAAACCCGAGGCACCATACATCCTGTCCACAGCCCGGTGTGTGCAAGACGGCCTGCCCTGTCGGACTAGGAGTCTTAGTGTTCATTGTTGGCCCGGCGGCGACTCGGGCTCGGCGACTTGCCGCGGGTTCGACCCCTGCCGGGGGGCGACGTGGCGGGCGTGGCGTCGGCGGGCGTTGCTCCTGCAACGTTTGGCGTGGGGGAAAACCGGGTGAAGGAGAGAGGCCGAATGATGAGGAACTTGTTCTTGATCACGAAAATGGATAGCGGCAGTAGATTTCACGTCACAGGCTGCAGGGAACGTCGTGACCCTCGTAAACCCGGGGCGGAACCCGCAAGACTTTCGCCGACCACAGGAAGGGGACGTGAAGGGTCGAGAGGATGGTCCTGCTACCTGAGATAGTTGCATCTACTGCAGTAGTACCTAGCAGAGAGCTCACCTTCTGCTCCCTTGCCCTCGTCCTCGTCGTCGTCATCCTCGTCTTCGGCGAAAACCGCCCACCGGTTGGTTGACGCTGTGGGGAGGGGCTCCTTCTTCTTCTCCCTCCTCCTCCTCGCTTTTGGCACCATAGGGGAAGAAGCGGGTGGGTGGCGAAGGGGTTGGTCACAATGACTTGGTTGACGGTGGTGAGGGCACTAACGATGCTGCTGCCTAAAGAGCCCGATCATGCTCAGGCCAATCTTGCTACAGGGCGTTCTGCCACATGTTTGACTCCGACGGCACACTGGTGGCTGCGGTCGGCCTCGTTACAAACGGTATCTTCCTAGATTCCGTCGAGACCTCTTGAGTACGTTGAATGATTCACTCGCTTCGCTACGTACGACGGGTGCTCGCCTGCCCGTCTACATCGCCAAACCGCTCACAGAGCAGTATGTGGATACCCCACAGTATCAGGGAGCTGCGTTCAGGGCCCCTTGGCGACAAGGTGTGATTTGAGCCTACAAAGAAAGGTTGGTTGCGATATTCATAATTCGAGCAACAATGCATGTACTTACCCGGTGCGGCTATCGCCTTGGCCCGCGGTGCTGATGAAACCTTCCCCTGTTGCGGGTCACACACCCCGTCCTGCTTGACCTCCTCCTCCAAAGACCGAAGCATCGCCTGCTCCATGTGCTGCAGGCCGAACCCTTCTTCGTCCAGCTTGGCGTCGCTGGCCGTGGACGCGTGGGAGCCCTGGGCAACTTGCTGCTTCTGGGCTTGAGGCCCCGTCTCTTTCCCCTGCGTTGCTGCTTTGCGGGCAGCCTCCTTGACCGCCTCCGCCTGAGCAGAATCCCTCGCCATCTGCTCCCTCGCCGACTGCAGCGAGGACCGACATTCCTGACAAGCGCCGGAAAAGGGTGAAGAGTGGAGTGCTTGTTGCAACCTTGAACACTGGGGGAAGACATTGTAGCTTAGACTATGCGTAGAGGAGCATGCTGTTAGCATAGACTACACATCAGTCATTAAAAGTTGTACTGTACAAGTTTCACCGAGAGATGCACGCATCAAACTCACCACCGTATCGGCCGATCATCGCGGCTGTGTTCTATCGGGGCCAGTTAATCGGTGTCTGTCGTGCGTGCGGGTCCCTTCTACATTGTGCAGTAAGATACTTTCGTATCAGAGCGTGCGCGTACCTCGTACTTTGCACGACAAGTAGCCATGTCACGTTCCGCCTTTTCCGTCTTCCCTTCCTCCTTCATCAATGCGGCGTTTAGAGAACGCATCCCTAAGCGCTGGAGCTGTAGGGCAGGGTTGGAAGGTTGGGGGCGCGGGCAGGGGGGTTGTGGCCGGCGATAAACGACGCCAGGAGATCATCAGGGGTAATGTAACATGCCTATGCACACGGTGTACCAATAGGTGGCTTCATGACTAGTTTCTGCTCAGCTGAACAACGCAACAAATCAGAACGTGTGAGACTCTTGTCACAGCACTTACCTGGGTCTGGACGTTGAACCGGGCTACCACCTCGGTCATTTTCTGCAAGTCGTGCTCGGCCTGCGCCAACGCCATGCTCGCCCTGTTGGCGTCTTGCCGGTTGTGGATTCCCTCCAGCTGGTACTCGTAGCAGGCCGAGAGTGCCGTCTGCAGACGAGCGCGGTGTACGGTATGCGGGGGGCGAGAGGTTTACTTGCTGTTTCAATGTCCACGTGGCGAAAGTTGAACGTGTCCATGATATGCAGTAGTGTGCTACTGAATACTCTACAACACAGGGAGAGTCGTGCAGAGGGAAATGGAAGGTGAAATCAGAACGTGTGAGACGCTGTCGCAGCACTTACCTGCTTCTCGGCTTCCGTCCTTTTTAACAGCTTCGTCCTTGTCTGCAGCTGGGTTTTGACTCGCGCCGATTCGGCGCTAGCCCTGTGGGAGTCTGCCCTGTTCTCGACAACAGCTAGCTGGAACTCATAGCAGGCTGAGCGTGCCGTCTGCAGACGAACGCAGCGTACGGCATGCGGGGGGGGGGGATTCTTGAGACACATATGTGGACCATGAACGCCGTTGCCTAAAACATCGAAACCACAACGGCAGACAAAGTCCCGCTGACAAAGAGTTGATTTCGATGGCACAACCCACTTGCAATCTGTGGATGAACGATCCGCAGGACAAAGAGTTGATTTCGATGGCACAACTCACTTGCAATCTGTGGATGAACGATCCGCAGGGCGGGTGCGGAAGGAATGCGGTGAACTTTCAACACTGTCTATCTGTGATCATGAGAGATGGATGTGAATTGCCGATGGAAGAGAGTGTGTTTCGATAGCACTGGCCGTATCGGCCCGGCTTGGCCTAACGTGTATGCTACGGCAGCAATGGAAAAAGCACTCACGTCTCTCTGGGCTTCGAAACGCGTTGTCTTCTCGTTGGCTGTAGCAGTTTCTGCCCTTGATTCCTCAACGGTGTGCACCAGGGCGGACTCACGGTCCGCTTGGTGCTTACCCCACCACCGCAGCAGTATCACCATGCTCAGGACCAGGATCAGGATCAAGACCGTGAAGGCGACGCCCCCCACGGCCATCTTCCACTTGTAGGCCGCGAACTCTAACTCCAGCTGCTGGCGTTCTGCCAACTCCTTCGCCGCCCGCCGGTACCCCGGGAGCAGGACCTTCGCCCGCGAAAACATGCCCGCCATCTTGCTTCCAACGCTGGGATTGGGAGGGGATGGGGCAGAAATGAGCGCGAGCGGGGTGGTCTAGGCGATCGTTACCGGTGGCTAGTTGATGACTTACGTATGTCTTTCTATCTCTCTCTTCGGCCAAACCATCGCGAATCCCGCAACAGAAGCTTCGCCAACGTTCGCTTCGGCACACTTCTTCCTTGGTTCAGCGTGTTCGAGACAGTTGTCTACTTATGCACACTATAGACTAGTATGCGAACGCCTTGAACGCGAACCACATACAGAGGGTACCGTGATAGCTTGCTTCTCTCCATTCTCCTTGGAAGACTGCTTGCGGTCTACATACATACCTCGTTTCAGGTCACCGTTGAATCAGTTGGCACAAGATGGAACCACTTCGACCGGCGGCTACCGTGCATGCTCTCCGTATGCGCACACCACCTCTCTCACCTGAATGCCGTTGCTATCGCCCGATGCCGTAGTAAGTCGATTGCTTGGGTTATCGATTGCTTGGGTTAGGCTGTGGATGGCTGTGTCAAGTGGGCTAGGGGATGCTAGAAGGATGTGGCTAGCACGGGTGGATCTTTATTCTCGGGACGGGGGTTGAACCGGCGATGGTTCGGCTGGCTAGATGGCTGCTTGAACCGAACGATGGGACTGTCAGTTTCCTGGTTGAACCAAGCACCAGCTGGACCATGGCGTCACTTCACAGGGTAACTATCGCCGAATGAACCGTACTGGTTGGTATCCCTTCCGAATGGTCCAAACCTGTTGTGCTCGTTATGGTTTTGGGTGGTGCCACCTTCGTAACCGTATTCGGTTCCAGTCTCTGCTCAGAACGTCGCACTATCGGTCGCGGGTTAGAGGCTCTGGGTATTGAGATGTTCGCTGGCACGAGGGATGGCATAATGGGCTGCGAGGAGTTCAGTGAGTTCTGGTCTGAGCTGTTGCTATTCGGCATTTCATTCCCTTGTGTTCCTGCTCAGAGCAACGTTCCTCGCCATATAAATATCCCGACGAGTGCTTGCTGATCGCATCGAACTTTTAAGTACTGCTGTACGAGGAAGGCGGTGATGAACGCTACATGCTTGCGTCTGTTGTGACCTACTTCACCCTCCGGACCTAAATCACCCCCCGTTTCGACGGGCGGCCAGTTCCGCGTGACTGGGATAGGAGATTATTTTGGCTTTTTGTTGTCCTGCTATTCACTCAAGAAGGCCTGTAGTCCTCATAAATTGCGGCGAGAGGACGGAAACGGACTGATGAAGATTGGGTGGGAATCGTTCGTGCGGGCGGGCGGACTGGGGTCCTCGGGGGGGCACGATCAAGATATGAGGAACAGGGTGCTGGGTCATTCTCTAGCGATGTATGACTGCATGCAGCTTCGAAACTGTATGTATGTCTTCATTGATCGTGGAGGTTCATTGGGCTGTTCGAGCTTAGGAAACGTCACTACCTCATGAAAACTGGCAGCTGATTCGCATCAACATGTGCTTGAATTTCATTTTGCATCAAGCCTTGGTTCACTACTAGACTTTGCTCTGATGAGCCGCTCCGGAGACGCACCTTGCGCTGCAACATTGATATATTCACAGACTGGCGGCGCACAGTTCTCTACAGAAGCACTCAAGGCTCGAACGCCGACGATTTGACTACCTTTGCGTGGACGGGGGAGGGAGATGTGATGTCTACGTGTGTCACGCTGTTGGTGCGGATGGATGTTCCATCACGGCGACGATCATCATTGTCTTCTCTCATTCGGAACTGCAGTAAACGCAACACCCACATGTATGTAAAGTATGCAGAATACGTATGTCCTTCTCGTGTATCTATCTTTCATTGCCGGAACTTCGCCTCGCTTTCGTCATCGCGGTCATTGATTGAGCACCGCTCGAACTTGCACACACCCTATGAGCTTGCCTCTCCAGCTGACAAACTCTTGCTAGGGATATTTCTTATAGCGTGTGCGTGGATGGGATTGAATCGAAAGCTGGTTGAAACAAGCTGACCCCAAAACAATCTAGCCGTTTCACTAGACTATGCCGCAAAAACAACCCCGTTTCGTGCGATTGTGAAGCCGTGTACGCTGGGACACGGCTGGTCTACTCTGTCAGTCCCTACCAAGAAGTACGAAGTGCTACAACAGTGTCCCGTATCCTGCGATATAGTGTAGACTGTCTATTTTTCGTCCACAACATCCTGGGGGCTAGACACCTGTCGGCAGCAGTTTTTTACGTACCAACCGGGGTAGTGCCGGAGGTCATATGCATACCCTCCCGTGGTGCTATTGCTTTCATTATTACCCAGAACGGTCTTCGGCACTCTCCCACCAGTCCGACGTGCATTCACAACTTTGCGAAAGGTCTAGGGTTCACTCCCGGAGAGACTCAAACCTATGGCCTAGAGCCAAACGTTTAACGAGGTTGCCATCTGAACCACTAACCCACGCACGGCAATATGCCCGCGGTCTAGGTAGTCGGCACCACTTCCGCAAGCGCATACATCAGGCACAGGGCGCTCGAACTCGGCAGCGAGGAGTTACTCGAGGCACACGGAAACACGGGCGAGACCACGGGCACCGCGCTCAACAATGACAATAGCGAGACTTGTGACGTGAGGGAGATCAGGCAGCAGGTAGACCACCTGCACGACAGGCGTGAATTGTAGCAGAAAGTGGTGTGTTCTCAAGTCTTCTCCACGGAAGGAAGCGGACATGTCCCTTCTGGTGAATGATATGTAGTCATGGAAGCGTCCCGCGCAAGCTTGCACGAAAGTACTTCGCGATGGCTTCCATGAAAGCTGATTGGCGGGTGAAATGCTTCCATGGAAGCTGGCGAAATACAGCGTCCATGTGGAAGTCCCGACTATGACTTCCCTGCCAGCTGATAAACGCGCACAACTTCCATGGAAAAAAAAATCGAGGCTCAAATATGAATCGCTCCTGCCTTCGATGGAAGCTGGACTCGGCTGATACTCTTCCACGGAAGGAAGTTGTGCCATGGTAAACCCATCGACGTCGAAACAAACTCCCCCATGGAAGCTGCCCCAAGCCCCATGGAAGCTGCTCCAAGGTGGGACACTTCCATGGAAGCAGCTTGAATTGACTTGTGTGGAAGCTCACCAAGCGACTTCCATGGAAGCTATGCAGTTGGCACTACTTCCAGGAAGTCGATCGTCGACCACCCCTAACTTAACTTGCACGGAAGTCAACTTATGAATGTTCCATGGAAGCCACTTCCTTTGCCGGCTCCCATGGAACTGCAATTCAACCCGCTTCCATCGAAGTCAACACCACTCCCCGTGGAAGTAAATGTCTACTTCCATGGAAGCTGCACGCATTTGTCACACAATGAAGGAGATCTCTGTGAACCGCAGTCTGTTTTTCCTATCTGCATACGCCCCGCGATTCACTTACTAACCACGGTTGATTGCGTCTCGTCCCCTTTATTGCCAAGAGTACTGAAAGGAGCACAACGGCGCCCTGCGGCCGCCGTACCAAGCCCACGGGCGCGGAGAGAACGCGGACGAGCGCCGCAAACATTCGATACGAGGGTTTAATCTCCATCTAGGCCTGCACGAACGCGAAAACATTAGTCTACACTAGACGGTACAAAAAAACGTGAGCTGAAAGATGGCGATCCTGTAGATATCCCATTCATAATTGCTGGTATACGAACCACGCGTCCACCAACCTACATGTAAATGCTTCAGAATCGAGCGATAGACCCGGAACGATCATTCATTGTTCCCTGACATTGGGTTTGGTTTTGTCTACGAGGAGACAGGGAAGGGGCTGCGCCTTGAACCGCAAGCATGGCAATCGCCGTCAGCCGAGGGTGTAACGCACGAGTACACCATCCCCCGCCCCCCGGCTCGGGAGCACTACTGTAGAGCCATGCCCGCCGGACAGTTGTTTGTTTTCTCTTTCTCAGCCATGTATTGCGCTCGCGCGCTTCCCTCCACCCGTCTCCTCCATTCAGCGTAGCGCGTGCAGCAGAAACTCGGCGCGAGGTCACTTGATCGTTCAACGTACCTCGTTTACACCGCGTCAAACCGTTTGTCTCTGGTAGGGCCCCACAGGAGTTGCAGCAAAACATGTGTCAACGAGTCTCTCACTCGCACACCCTTATTCACGCTACCTTCCCTTCAGCCTCACACCTCATCCACCCAGAGGACCAGTCTCTCCATCGCCGTGAACACGAGAGCCGCCGATCTTCGGGCTGCCAGGTGTGTCGCTAGACCGCGAGTCGCGAGTTCATGTAAAGGGTACTCGGCGCTGTTTGAGAGTGGGATACACAGTGAGTGAAGAGAGGGAATGTGAGCGTGAGACAGATGCCACCATGCACACGAAAATAAGCAAGGCCAACCTCTACTTCAGCGCTACTCTGACCTCGAGTGCTGCGCTGACCTCGCCACCCTATGGTTTGAAGACAAGCAGCAGGATCGCCTCGCATACCATGTGGCTATTGTGTGCAAATTCTGAGTTGATGAGTGAAGTGAGACAGAGAGACGAGAGAGCAAATAGAGACAGAGACAGGCAGAGGGGAGGGAGGCGTAGAGGGATGCGATCATCGTGCCGTCGCCGCACGCGTGTTGGGCCGATGGCGATGTGCTTACGTGTGTACGCATGAGTTAGTTGATGCTCTCACACACCGAGGGGCAGCGTGTGTCGTATGCCAGGGTCGTGCACCTGAGCCAACTCTCGTCGAAACATACCGGGTAAGGAAGCCCATGCTTGAAAATACATGCCGTTTTTCTCTTTTTCCTCGTTATTGATGAACACAATGCATGAATCTCTGTCCACAGATATGCATACGAGTCCGGCATAATATTAGCAATGGTTTCATAGCGGTAGCGGACACACCACACGCGTGATTCTACGATTCCCCGAGCAGCATACACGAATACTTCCCCTCTGTGGGTAACAGACTCAACAAGACAGTTTGTATATTATTTGCTTCGGCATCGGCACGAAAAAGAGGAAAGAGACCGGTATTAGCCCCCCGCGTCCGAGACCTTGTATTTCAGACTAAATAGGACAGAGGTCTTGGAGTGTAATTACAGGTGAAACCCGCTAATAATACATTTGTGAAACCCATCTGAGGACCGCACGCTTTCAAAACGTTGGATGAAGGAGCCACCAGAGCAGGTGTCGTCACCGCGGCGGCAAAGAAACACCGCCGTGCAGATATGCTGCAATGAGGATCGCCAAATACCAACGAGATGATTGATGATCATTGATTTTGGCCTCCCTCTATGCCATGAATAAGACCAGATGGTATATGGAGTGAAGAAAGCGAAGAAGAGAGAGTAGATGTGGAGATGACAGAGCATCATCACCATCACGTTACTTGAACTGGTCTGGTGAGAGTAGGGCGCGCAGACAATATAGAAACACGCACGGATGGATCGCTGTTGGAAAACAGAGGCTTTGGGTCTGCAAGATTGTGTCGTCAAGAACAGCTAGATTGCTTGGCGTTTTATTCAGCTGAACGTCAGATCTGCTGAAAAGAAGTCCAGATAAAAGGCTGATAACGTCAGTAGTCGATCTGTTCAAAGTGACCCCTGTGCTACGGTGGTAGCAGCAGTGAGCAAGCAAGATATCACAGAGCGTGTGCCATACCTTGTTGACAGGTGTGCGGAGGTGCACTGTAGACGTGAGTCTTCAACCAACCGGAATTTGGTTCAAAGAGAAATGAGAAGATTGTTGAGCTGGGCAGGAAACAGAGTGAGCTCCGGTGGGGGGCGTTCGCTCTGCCTGGTCCGCCTTTTCGCGATTACCGATGAAAGCACGACCACGAAGAGCCTTAGTACCAGTCCGGAACCGTTCCGAAACCGTTCCGAAAATGTTCCGGGAACCAACACCGTGCTATAAGACCAAAAGCTGTTCCATAAAACGCTTCTGGAACCATTCTTATCGGGACTTGTACTGAGAACGTTCCCGAGAACCGTTCTATATAGGAAATATTCAATTGGAAATATTCTACCGTTTCGGAAGCTACCGCGTTCATCAGTGAATCGTTCTGCTGTAGATATCTTTCCTGAAGTATTGTTCTTCAAGGTTGAAGTTTCTACCGCGTTTAGCCCTACACTGAACCTTTTTGTTTTTGGCTACTGAAATCGCTCATGACGTTGTATGTATGTGACATCGTATACTGTGCTGTATTCAAGAGAATACCTATAACATCGGCCTTTCTCAGCCAATACGGACATTGTTGACAATCCCTGCGTGTGGGTATTACTACTGTAGCCTGCGACATATGTCATCTAAGCGTGTGCGTCTGTGTGATGCTACTGCACTATATACTCTCCTCCCTCCGCGCTGTTTGGAGCTCTTCGTGGCGCTGCCGCGTGCTCGTTATCGACACTCAGGGTTGTCGTTGCGAAACTTCGCACGCACACAGAGTCTCTGCTGGTTCTATCCTGCTGTGGACGTGTGATATGTGCCAGTTGCAGCTCCCCGCCGGGGCTCCCGGCTGATGTGTGTTGGTCTGTGAACTGGTCGGTTCGAATGCGGTGCTTAGAAGAACGGGGCGTACACCAAATGCGATAAAATGCTCGAAAATAGACAAGACGCCAACTACATAGATAGGCGCCAAGTAACGGGGATATATAGCTGATTGGCGGACACCAAGTTAAATTGTCTTGGTGAACATAGATTTTTTGCTGCAAAGAAACCCGGTCTGTTTAGGTTCAAGTATACGTATGTTGCCCAGCCTGTTTACACTCAGCGTGAAAAAAGAGATGCAGCCCTTTCGTCGTGCAAGCAGGCCCCAATAGTTTGATGGACGTCGTCTATGCACCCACGCCCATGATGCTGCAAAGTCAACTTAATTTGCCGAGGTAGATTCACACAATACGAGTGAAAGGTATCCTTCCAACCAGGGGACGGGGTGTACTCATCGTCGTGCAGGGGGGGTAGTCTGTTCAGCCACAGGGAGGAATATGACCACAGGGAGGAATATGACCGTTGAAGTGGCACGACAGGGAGAGACACCAGACAGACGCACTCTTGAAATACGCTTTTGGGCGGCTGGTTGTCGTCAATCATTTCGAAGAGTTGCCCGTGGGTGGGTTTCACAGACTAGCGTACACAGGGTGTTTGTTGGGTGTAGTGACATACTGTAGTACCCATCTCTAACGTGGCATCATTCACACGCACAAGGTTTTGAAGCCCCTCCAACCGACTCGACGAGCCTAATAGTCTGGGGAGAACCCAATAGCTAGGCGTGCACCACACCGGGCGTGCTCTGTGAAGGTGCATGGAGTATCAATCGATTACCGTTAAGGAATTCACGACGAACGAGTACCTTTCAGCCGGATATGGTATAGAATTATAGCCCGAGATGAAAAGGTGGCCCCACAACCACTCTCGTAAGTCATTTTCATCGGATGTACTCCGTATGTGTCGCTGAATAGAAGGGATGTAGTTTCCGATCATGGTGAAGCTGGCTGATTTTAACTTGGCTGCCTCCGCCGATACAACTATGTCGTGGAAGCCGATGCAAATGTTGCACCAGGTGAGCAATACCGCCCCCCCTGGGTGGTGAGAAATGGAACACCAGATTGAGGGACAAAGAATGCTGGAGTTCGTCGGCTGTACTTCTAAGACCACGAATTGCTTGCATGGCGTTAAGAAGCACGATGACCACTAGACCATTGGTCAGCGCTGACTATGTAGTCTAATGTAATTGCACTCTCTCCTAAGTGTTCTTTATGTTGTGCCACCTGACGGAACAATATATCTGACACCCTGACGCCGCTCACCTGTCTGCCCGGTGTGCTCATTTCCTCGCCATGCCGTGCCGTCCTCACCGTACTCCGATGTCCACCTCTCTAGGTGTCGCTTCTCGCTTCACCGAAGCGCTTGTGGTTCTCGCAGACCAGAGTAGCCCGAGCGTGGGGTTCGTTGTCAAACGAGGATGACGAAGCAAGCAAATCCTCGGAACAAACCCAAGGCCGAAAAGGCGGCGAAGAAGAAGTTCACAACGCGTCCGCGAAACCGCGTGCCCGAGGCCGATCCCATCCAGGAGTATTGGTCAAGGATAATTTCCCCCCGTGACGGCCATGTCGAAGTCCAATTCAAGGGAGGAGGACCCGGAGGAGTCACGGTCCTACGCAAGGATGTACCCAGGCTCTGGAGGAACGTCAACAACAGAAAAGGTGTGTGCTGCGTCTACTTCGTCACCGGCGAGCGACACTTCCTGGCAATGGTTTCGGAGAAGGAACTGAACAAGATGAAGGGCACGATCGGCGACTTAGAGATGACCAACCACGCCAAGACTCTTGCCTACGGTATGAAAGCAGCGAAGAAGAGGAAGGGCGTGCCCAACTTCAGCGTGGTGGATGCCTGCTTCGGGTTCTGGTTTGACGTTTGCAAGGACGACGGTGAGCTGTTGGAAGCTGGTTGAAAGATATTCTACCGATGCTGAAGCAGGACATGACCCCCGCCGTGGCCCAAACAGAATTCCGAGCGTATATCACGCATGCCGTGAACCTGTATTGCCACCACCTCTGGTATGCACTCACCTGACACGTTGTGGAGCCGTTCCTCGTCGTTTTACCGTAAACCCTATGTACCACCTGCCGAGACAGGTTTGGAGTACAAGTTCAAGTCCTGCGCCAACTACTTCAACGACGGTACGGGGCGAACAACTCGTCAACTCGCAAAGGAACAGGAGAAGAGTTTGTTGGCCGCTCTCCATACGGTGTCTGCGATTCCCAAAGACAGCGAGGAGGACAGCGAGTCCGACAGCGGTTCTGTCATCGACCTCAGAGACACCGGCAGCGGTTCTGTCGTCGATCTCAAGAAGGCGGCGGCGGGTTCGTCGGAGCAGCAGAAGCAGCACCAGGAGGCGACGGAGAAGAATCGTAAGTACATAGACCATGTAGATTCAACTGCCACCTCTCCCGTTGCAGTTGACTTGGGAGAGAACCGAGCGGAACCGCCGTTGGTAGGTTCATCGTTTACCTGCATTGACTTCATGAAAACCAAGAATCGTTTCGCTGTCGGGCCCAGCCGCACCCCTACACAACATGATAGGTTCCCGATAAATAGTGGGCAGGCCACGCGCACAGTTCCAATGTGGGGTCGCGATGTAGAATGTGGTGTGACTTTGTGAGAGGTGAAAAGACAGCGAGGGGACGTTGCCGCATACCAGCTTCGAAGAAACAAGTCATGGAGAGAAGCCGGCCACCGGTCAGCGATGTAGTAGGTATGTTTGAGAGGGTTAATTCGTGCAACCACTTTTAACGAATGTGCATCTGTTGGTAAACACGAGGCACTCTTGCTATTCATCTTTTGGCCCATCAACATTCGACCCCCCATCCAAATATTCTCCGGTTCAGATTCAGGCGCATGCCAGGGTATGCAAAATACAGGTATCCCGTGCGGCTTCAAAGCGAAGGCCGGCACCCTGTACTGTCTTCGTCACAAACCGAAAGGTGCGTTCAGGGGAATACGTCGTTTTGCTTGAACAGCTGCGGCTCGCGTTTCCATCTGCTATTGACCCCAATTCTCCCTGTACAACTGGGTGCGCCAAGCATGTGTGGTGTCGGCGTGGGGTGTGTGGACTGCGCTGAGTCATGCTCAGCTATCCCTAAGCAAAGCTGGCCTGGGTCTCACTGCGTTTTAAAGGTGTAGTCGAGTCCCTTTCAACCACCGGCCGGCAACGTGTATGGTTGTGCCCCCTTTCTCTGGGGGTGCTGTGTAGAGTGTGACCTCAGTTTGACTTATTGCAGCAGCAGTGGATCAGTCGGGCACCTCATGGCACAGGCCGCAGCCATCGTCTTTGTGGGAGGAATTTCCAGCATCCCGGCGTACCCCCCAAAGCAACGAGCTTCGTTTTATGTATTTTATGTATTTTCCGTGCAAACCGCACATGATCGTTCACGTCATTGAGCAACGTGGGGAGAAGAACTGAAACGATCGTAGGTTCGGTAGGCGGTGCACACGCAAGCCGCTTGTCCATTCATTTCGACCAGTCAACGGCACTGCCTTTCTCAAAATCCCGGGTACAGGCATCTTTCTTGTACATTAGGTCGTGACGTGACACAAGAACATTGGTTCACCTGTTCCCCGCGCAAATGTGTCCGCCGTTGTTGTCGATAAGCGGAGTGAGGCATTTTCGTTCTTTCAATACTATATACAAGTTGATGTGCAAGTCACGTTGGGGGTCGCGTTAAGGTCTCAAGCGTGGGAGTGGTCGTGGTCGAAACATGACACTCAGCTGCCGTGTACAGATTGAAGACGAGCGTGTGATATGTAAATGGTTGAGATTATGTTCATTTTTTTTTCCCTTGCCCTAGCTAAACGTGGGTGAGATCCGCATGCTTAGAACGCCCCTTGTCCTTGATGAATATGGTATCTTTCCCTGTCCCCACGTGTCACCATCCGCCCCCTCCCCACGTCCTGCAGCCACGACGATCGAAGTGAAGTCGTCCATTTGCCTAGCTAGGATGCCAGTCTTTGGAACGAGGTGCAACATGCATCGTATTGGCGAATCTCGCTTCTGCGCCGAACACCGGCCCAAGTGGCACCAAAAAGACAGTCCCATTTGGGGCCTGCTCCCTGTCACCATGGTGCCCGATTCGGACCCCACCATCTGTCTGGCTTGGGTCACCTCAAGTGGACTGAGGTGCAGCAACAAGCGTTACGGCCTGTCCCGCTGGTGCGTCAAGCACTTCAGCGAGTGGCATGGAAAAGACAGCCCTGCGTGGCGCCCGTGTCCTCCGTGAAGCCCGAAGTGAACCCCATTTGCCACGCTGGGGTGGCTACAGCCAGATTTTGGTGCACCACCAGCCACAATGGGTAATCCCGTTGGTGCGGTAGGCACTTGAGCTCGTGGCGAGAAGACGACATCCCCAAGCGGTGAAAATCCCGTTGCGGCCGACGGAATCGAGATGGCCCAGCAACCTCCAATGCTAGGTAGTGGCTGGTGTTCTTGCCTAACCCTGGCGATCCAAGGGAGCGAGTAGAAAAACCCAGTGTGGTTGGTCCTCGGCGGGAGTTAGAGGGGTGGATGGATGGAATGCGGGGTATACCGCAAGTACGAACTTTGACGTCCCGCCTCCCACCGGGTCGTAATTCATGTTGGCACTCCAGGACATACCCTGTAGATTGTACCGTACTGTTTCGTACTGTTCTTTGCCAACGTGACGAAAATGACGAGGCGTCGACAGCATTGGTACGTGTGGGAAAGAGTACGTCCGAGGAATGATAGGCAGTTTTTTTGTCGCATTTTTCTTCGTCGGCATGGTCGACGGCCGAGGCATAGATATTGTTCGTGTACCTGGCGGAAAGGGTAGTTGCCAATCGTCCACATGGTTTTTCAATCCCCATTGAACTCCGTGGAATATTCCATGGCGTTCCATGGAGCCCTACGGTGTGCCATATGGAGCCCCACGTTGTTGGTGTGTAAGGAACTTTGAAATCTCCGGGGTTTAACTGTGTGGGTGTTATGGACTTGAAGCTTGGTTTCACCCCTTTCTCTCCCTCATTGTACTGTATGATAGAAGGAACTTGGGGGCACTCCTCTGTACAGAAAAGTTCTCGGCACGAGGCCGCGAGCGTGATACCGCAGTACACGCGCGGACACCCCAATCGTCGTAGACTGTTGTGTTGCGATGCGCACGAACATGTTGTTTTGGACATGTTTAGGACACAGTTTGGACAGTCCAAGTCTTCACCAAGCCGAATGGTTTAGTTCATAATGTTCGATCACTGCTAGCATTTCTGTCGAATGCGGGGGGGGGCGGGGAGAACGGGACGCTGATGTCATGATCCTCGCCGCAGTACAAGCAGAGTTCTGGCGGACTTTCGGCTTTGGTTGTTCATGTTGTTCACGCTTTCCCCGTTTCATCTATCTGCGCAGAGTGACGAGAAATCCACATTTATGTTTGCTTTCTGCGTTTTTCTGCGGAATTCGGAGTTAAGGTCATCATAGTTGTTTGTTTTCGCGTAAGGACTCGATTAAGACGTATTACGGTGTGTTTTTTTTGTTCTGGGAGATGTTGTAGCAAGGGGACTGTTTAGGTGCCATGTTTGGAGAGATGTTACAGTCAGGGGGACTGTTGGCGAAACGGCGGAATAGGTGAAAATTTTCTCTGACACTTGATATGTGTTGGGGCTTTGGCTCTTGTCCGTTTTTCCGTCCTGGTATTGTATTGTTGGCCTCTCTGGACGGTGTATTGGAGGAAGGATTTGGCATCTTTTGATAAAGGACATGGTTGAAGCGCATGTGCTTCCGAAGCTTATTTCACATAGGTCAATGAGTTGAAACATGGTTTCGTGTGAGGATTGTTCGAAGTATTCCGTCCCGATTCTTGATGGACTGCTTGATCTCTGCTGAATAAATGTCCAAGGACGAATCTGTGCTTTGGATTGTTTGAGAGATTGTCGTTACGACATTTGCTCGAGAGGGTTGTTGAGTGTTCCGAAAGTTGGATATTTGATAAATATGGGGAGTTGGGTTGAGATTTTTTTATATATACGATGATGGTTTGCTTTGATTGGAATTGGACTTGTTGCCGTTTTACCTGGTGATACACACGTACGGAGGGTTTCGTAGATTGTATCTCGTACCGAGTAGGGGGCGTAGTAGGCAGATTTGGGATACCCTAGATCTCCGGGGGATACGTGGATGTTGCTATTTTGGGTGTGATGGACTTGACGCCCGAGTTTCTACTTGGTCACGCCCCTGTCTCTCACTCCTTTAATGTCTGATACAAGGTAAGCTAGATGCCATCGTCGACGACAGCGAAAAGCTTTACGGTGGTGTGGCGTGGGCTGATAGTGTCAGCGTTTCCTCTACATGTATCTCGGATAAGGAACTTGAGTCACTCGTCTGCGAAGAAATGCTCTCGACACGAGCCCGCAGGCATGGTAACGCAGACACGCGCCGACATGGTAGTGCCAAGGGCTCCATGGAACTCCATCTGCTCTCGGCACGATAAAAACAAGCAACTACAGTATATACTTCGAAGTAGGTGTTTATGGCGGTGGGTGGGGGGATACCTGATATCGGAGTTTACCCCCTGGGCAGCCCTACGACGTGCCTGAAAAGCGGGCGCCATCGTGATGCGTTTGGCGTGTATGCGTTTCGCAAAAAGGCAGAGCACGACCAACATGAACTTAATCCACGGTGGGTCAATACCACACAGGTAGAGACAGTACAAGGCGGACAGACAGATCCATTCTTGCTTTCTTTTGTTCGTTTTGGAGACATCGATGCCAAGTACGGTGCGACGGGCTGTGTTTCGACCTAGGCAAGGCCTCGTGCTGCTTCTCCGCAGACGTCACTTCTCGGTTGGCGAGGCAACCAGGAAGGTCATTGTTGTTGTTGTCAGACTCTTTCGACGAGCACAACCACAAGCATCCGCTCACGATGGGACGATGGATACGTACCACCGAAAGACGAACACAAGTTGTGTGTTAGGACAAGCTCCGGCGTACGCTGTGTCACCTTACGGCAGAATGCTCTTGTGGGGGTGAGGTTCACAAACAAACGTGCGGAACACACTGCCAGAGTAAAGCACAAATGTGTTTTCGCCTTGCTCTTGCTTTTGATACCCGTCTGGAGGAAGGCTCGTCAGGGCCTAGCCGACAGGTCGAGCGGGTAGACCCCATGCAGGACAGCTTGTACCCACTGGAGTGCCCATCACACGGCTAACCCAAACTCTTCATAAGCACCGCCAACGGGCACGAACCCAGCTGCGATGTGTTCCCACGACCCTCAATTACGTCAACGTGTCCTCCTTGTCATCGCTGCTACTCCTATCCTCATCCGCGTATGTAGTCGTCACTTCAGTCGTCCTGCTCCTTGTCGCTGCTACTCCTGCTTCGCCCCCTCTCCACCCTCTTCTTGCGTCTACCCTCGCTCCCACTCTCGCGGGACCTCTCAAGGTCATCGTTGGTATTACTTTCACCATACATACTCGTTGTGCGCCCCCCCCCACTTTTCCTCCTGCACGCCCTTTCCTCCTCGTCCGTTTGGTAGTTGTTGGCATGCCGTCATCGATCTGGCACGCGCTACTTCTACGAGACCAGCAGACACCTTGCACGCCACAGCTAGAATCTATTACCCCATCTTACAAGGCAGGTTCGAGGTCCTAATCCACGTTGGCCCTGTAAATGGTTCCATAGCCAAGGTTTTCCATGTCTCAATATCCCGGTGTGATGCCAAGACCCGACTCCGACACGTATGTTTCCCTGGTTGGATCGCATCAGAAACATAATATCGCGGCGCGTCGTCAATAAATACCCGTTTCACTGTTGGCTGCAGTGAGTCTTCGAGGGAATTGTTATGCGTCTGAAACAATTCTCTGAGGTTTCAGTATCACGATGCACGCTGTTTCTCATGCAAAATCGTGTAGATGTGCGCAAACCATGCGAAATAGTATGATATCCAACGAAAATGGTGTAGATCACTGAACAACTCGGCCTCCACCGAGACAGACATCACACAAATTTCACTTCTTCATTCTGCCCAATACGTTCATAGCCAGAGTTTTCAGTGTCCCAAGTCCGGCGGGAAACCTACATGCAGTCTCGACTCCCGCGAACAATCGATCTCACTATCGTAGCCTACGAAACAGATTTCACTCCTTACATGCCCATGACATTGCTATCCAGCGTTTTGTGTATCCAAAATTGTGATGTGAAGCTATCATCGACGTAGCAACCAAGGTAGGTCGCCTCCGATAGGGAGGTGGGAGTCGGAGTGGGGGTAGGCGGGGTGGGGGTGGGGGGAGCAGGGGCCGACTCCTACACACGTGCTGTTCTCGTTGAATCACAATCAATCGCATCCAATCAAAAATACACGTGGCAGCGTTGCCAAAGATGTGTTCCAGTGTCTGTCGTACCAATACCCAAAACATGTCACTGTCCATGACATTCATCTCCAGGGTTTTATGTGTCCGAAGTCCCGGCGTCAAACCGAATGCTTCCACAAACATGTTCTCTCTGGTTGGATCGAATCAAAACTGTGAAGATGCGAGGCGTCGTTACCAAAGGGCTGTTTTCACTGTCGACTTCGATCGTGGCTTCTCGTCGAGGGAACCGATATGCATCGAAAGCAAATTCTTTGCCATTTCAGAAACAGGACACTGTCGAAGAAATTAAATCACTGCGAACACAACGTGGCAATCCAGTGAAAAATCCGGGCTCCACGGAAACGGGCGACATAATTCATATATAGTGGATTCGGCGGGATTTCGAATACATAAACATGTTGACTATGCAAAACATCCTGCACTAACTGAAAGAGGCGAGGAATTCAACACGCGACTTTTCCTTTGCGGCCTTGTCCCCTCTGGTTTCGTAAGTGGGCCAACAACGGATGGATCCAAACGCGATGTCAAGATCTCTTAACCGTAGAAAAGGCGTTACGTCGAGGCCGCCTCTTCGACCACCTGTGCGCGGGTGGAACGCAAGCATCGTGTTCTTGCACCAGAAGCCTAGGGGCTCACCTTGCCTTGGCATTTTCACTTACCAGGAGCACGTGCAGCGGCCGCAGCTACCAACGGGGTCTGCCAGCAGACTTTGTGCCCATTGGAGGCATTTCCGAAGAGTTTCGCGAGCATATCTACGATACGCCGAGGCGGTGACATCGTGTTGGGTCATATCTCAGCAACCACATGTTGGTTTTGGCCAGCAGAGGGCTCTTGTGACAGCTGGGGGCAGGCAGTGGAAACGCGGCGCACATTCATTGAAGGTGTTTTCGAAGAGTTGCGCGCGGTGGCGTCAATAAGCATAGTTACGATGCGCCAAGGTGATGCCAAGACATCGTGAAGGCCCATATCTCTGCAACCACCGGTCATTTTGGGTCGAAAGAGGGCTTGCGCGACAGCTGAGAGCCAGTCAAAGGTGACTTCGACGCCTTGTATTGCCGGCGTTGGAAAAACGTTTACGACACAGGTGCCGAAAATAGCATTACTGTAAGATATCCACTGGTTCAACTGACCCGGGCGCGTTCCGTTGTCACCGGCCAACACTTTTAGATATCAAAAGAACGGACACAGAAAATCCTCAAAACAAACGCCAAAAGCAGGTCCCAAAAGACAAACCGGGAGGCGATCAAACCCGAAAAAACTAACTGCACCAGGGACGAACACCTCGCAATCTTGCGATGGGCATAGAGTTGATAGCCATTGCTCAAAAAGAGGGAGCGCGAATCAGGCAGCAGAATACTGCCCACTTTGGCGCACACGAACGGTAACATACATGTCCGGAACGCATGGTACGCAAAATTGGCCAATCAGAAAACTGCGGGCACATTTTTGTCTTCAGACCATCAACGTGACCGGCCGCCTCAGCAACTTGCGCCACAAAAAAAAACACCATGCATGATCGTCAAATCTATTTTGGAACAGAAACAATTCATTTCATCTCTCTCCAGGCCGCAAAACACCAACTCTAGGAAAACTTCGCCATGGCTTCAGAGAATACACGCCCTGCCTTTGCGTGCGTGTCTATCCATGCGTTCGCGTTACGACTAAAGAAACATTCTGCAGATACAATTCCTCCCCAGCAATGATAAGGATACATCGATCTGAACTCAAACGAGTACCACGTTGATTTTCGGGGGAAAACCCGATGGACGAAAAAAACGGCCGTCGGATTTGCTCTCGTGACCCGCCCAAATACTGAAGCATGTGCCAGTCACTATTGCACGCTGCTATAACTGAAACAAGGTAAATTCATAAGTATGATGAAAAGCGCACAAGGTGGACATGACTAGAACGAAAACATATTTTCAGTCTGGCAGACAACCTCTTCGGTGAGCTCTTCAGCCATCAACATGGGTAAACGTAAGCGTAGAGCCCGCAAGGAATGGCAAATCCGTTCAAGCGCAAGGAACACGCAGTCTCCGGCTGTGACACCAGCGAAAAGCATATCAGCTAATAAAATGAACACCTGACCGCATTCTCGATGCTGTGCTTGATTGTTGGCCCAAGCCTGCAAGGACGAGTCTTCAGACGCTGCAATTAGTCTTCCCTCTGCCGTTCATCGTCCACCATACACTGCACTACGTTCCACGCGAAAGCGAGCATCCATTGACTGACGCCTTGGGGTACCAACAAGAGTGACATGGTAAAATTGCCGAAATGGCTGTGGCGCCCCCTAGACTAGTGTAGTGCCTGTTTGCAGGAAGAGCAGGTTCGGTTCGGAATAATCCGGTCGATGCTGATCTGCCCTCCCAGCTTTTGTGGTCCTGCCTCGACGCTCTATCTAACTGCGGGAGAGCAACACCACCCCCTGCCACCACATGATCACTAACCAGCCCGTCCCGTTATGCGCGAGACGGAAGCGCACCCTTCCAGGCATCAATTCACCCAAGATCTACAGCAATATAGAGAAACATGACCTTCTGCTCAGCGTCTGAGCGCAGTCATGGCCAGGGTCAAAGCTCCGGAACATGCAATCACGCTGCACGCCCACATAAACCTGTCCGAGTTACTCCACGATGTTGTTGTCGGTGGGTTGACTCCCGACGTAGTTCTTTCGAGGCGCCGATTCTGGGAGGAGGGAGGAGGGGAAGAAGGGGGAGGGGGAGGGAGGGAGGGAGGGAGAGAGGGAAGGGCGGCTTGAGGGGTGACGGCCAATGCTGCTGCGCACACGGTCGCGGTGCAATGGATTCAAGGAAGCAGGCACAAGCTTGGAAGGAAACGGATAGAACATGCCGCATCCCGGACAGGTTTGGTTACGACAGTAAGTTTCAAGAACACATGGCCCACTGCAGTAGCATTTTTCGATCGAACATACAACTAGAGACCAGACTGCCTCTAGCCTGCCAGACGATGCCACGCCCTTCACAATCTCTCTCGTGCCCGCTCAATGGCATACCATACAAGATATACATTGCAGCACTGAATACCCATGCAATACGGGGAAGCAAGTGGGCGAGGGGGGGATGTACAAAATAATGTAAACAATTGCCACAGTCGTTCATCGTTGATCTCGCATCTCTACAATGCCGGGTCGGGGCGATGTGCCGGGTTTTCGCCGGCCTTGGTCACGTTTCACAAGGATGCACCAGAAGCTGGCCATCATCCTTGCGTTTGTGCAATCCAGATATATATATATATATTTTCTCCCATCATTGGATTCTGTCGTCTGCCCCTCTGTGGCCCCTATCCTCCACTTCTACTAGCTAGACGACCCAACCGGGGTCACATAGGAGGGGGGGGTTGGACCCCCTCCTGCGGTTCCTGCCTGAGATATTTTTATAGCGAGATGGTTACAGCAATCCCTTCGCAATCCAGATATGCCAGGGGTTGACTGGGCATCCCGGCTAACCAAAACGATTAACATTTGGCAGGCACGACTACTGTAAAGTACCGCAAGGAACGAATATCTTGCACGCTTGCCCAAACAGGCGCATCATACACAGCGAACACGTCGCTTCGTGTTTGATACACTTGGAGAATAATCTGGACTCAAGGGGGGGGTGTTCACAAGGTTCAGCGACGCCGGCCGAAAACACCGACATATCTTAAAGCCGAACGACGTTTTGTTTCGCCTCTTGAACTGCAGAGTCGTTTTCTTAACCCCCTGCACGTTTAGGGCGCCGTGCCACTGCCGAATCCACCGACGACCTTCGGCAGCAAAGCAGCACTAGCACTAATCTCATGCGGCGAAACAGCATGCCCTATTGCTGCACACACAGCTTGGTGCGGCAGAGGGGTGGCCCAACTACCCAGAGCCAACGGACAAGCCAAGGGCGGCGGCAAGAAGCCCCTCGTTTCTCACCGGCTTGTGGTCGCGTCCCGGGGCTCCCAGTTGAGAGACACACCACTCGATGGCCTGTTAGCAGAACGTCGAGCACGGGAAAGAGTCGTGACGTCATACACCATGCACGCGTGGGGAGGAAAGACTAGTGAACTCAGCCAAAGGCGAAACCAAACTGCTTTGGTCACACCGGCCGGTTTTGAGGGCTGGACGGCAAGAAACAAGCCATCAATACATACGGTAGAATATTAATAAAATACCAAAAATGACATACCATTGGCGGGGCCAAAAAATGAACGTAAACATGCACGCAATCCGTCAAAACCAGAGCAGCACGGGGAACGTTGTACGCTACTATTGTCCGACTTCCCGACGAGATCGACACGAATAAATTGTGTGTGCGCGTGCGCGTGCGCGTGCACTTAGAGCGCCCCGATGCCCCCCTCCTTGCACCAGGTGGTGGTGACATGTAGAGCGTTTTCTGTCTCGCCTTTGCGGGGTCGCTCTCGAAGTGGAGGAGCTTGTCCATGTCTGCGTACAGGAGTCGATCTGCTTGTGCCCTCTTCGTCTGAACCTTGAACCCTGCACCACCCAACAAAAAGCGGTGAGGGAATAGGGAAAAGGAGGGACAAAAAGAGAGAGAGGCGTGTTTGCCGTGTGTGTGTGTATGTGACGGAGGGGGGAGGAAGAGTAAGAGCTGTAGTGTTGAGGGCATGGCACAGTGACCCCGAACGAGCATTGCTTGACTGTTCTGGGTCTAACAAACTCAAACCTGAGTATGTTTTCCAGGATTCAACTTCTCAGTTCAGACATGCTGGAAGGGGGCGGAAAACTCGACGCCGTTGACGTGATGATGCAGAACGGGTAGACTGTGACAAGTTGTCGACGATCCAGAACGAGCAACCAAGCACAGCAGTAGCAGCGGCAGCGATGGGACGGTTCTGTTCATACCTGCGTAGAAGTCTTCCACATCCAACACACAAATAGGGACGTCGCACAGACCTGGCCGAAATGACATCGGTGAGGGAGCAACGACGAAGGCCATGTAGAACACAAAAATGGGGGGAAAAGGAAAGGCCGGGCTCGAAGTCACTTGGACTCAACAAAGACATGTTTGCGAGCGCGCAGTAACACCAACTTCAGACGTCTGTGCCGCCTTGTAGAAACTCTGTCGTCGGAGATTGGGTACGGTCGCATTTCGGGTCAATACGGGCGTGAGTGCATGCCGCGCCAGCGCGTGTTTCGTCACCGCAAGCTTCCTTGACTTCTCTTCCACGACGCCGGTGAGCATGATTCTTCTCGTGCCATCGTTGACCGCCCATTTCGGGCAATCTTGCTGAAGTAACAACTTGCGATGCACGGTTAAAATATCTCCATTCTTGGTTTGGCAGGCGGGGTGGACTGCCCGGGGGCAAGGCCTGCAATACGCGTGCCCACGCAAAAAAGAAATTAGCCGGACAGTAAGATTTTGCTCTTGTAACGCGCAATCCCCGCCCCTCACCGATCCCCTTGAGGCAGACCATCTCCCACAACTCGTCCCACGTCCCGAGCCCCCCGGGCAGCGCCACAATGCAGTCGGCACCCTCCATCAGCATTCGTTTCCGCTCCTGCCCAAGGCGAGGGGGTAGAGGATACGCAAGAAGGAGGAGTTGTGTTGTTGCCAACTGCTCAACTTGTGCGTGTCGAAAGCTTTCGTCGGGACGAACACCACGGTAGGCACGCGTAGGATGAGGAGCTACAGCCTCAGTACCGGTAGTACCGGTAGCTTGTGCGGTTAACCCTCCACGTTCCGCCAACAAGGCGTCAAACACTGCTGTGGAACACGTCCTAAGCTACTCGAAAAAGTGTTTTCTCAGTCTCGCGGGACCACCCAACGCGACTGGCAGGGTGCAGGGACACCACGAAACACGTGCACACTCATCGGCAGGCCTGCTGTGTTGGATCTCCCAAGGATCGACGAAGGCGTTGGCGTACAAAGGGGGTCGACGACAGACAGGGAGAAAAAAATGCAGGAGAGACTCGTTTTGGAGCTAGGATTGGGGCAACGGCAGGGGGTGGGGTTCAAAAAAATCGTTTGCCTGGTCATCGCCGCCCAATGCTGTACAAGGGTCTTTCTCCCTCTAGCTTGTTGTCTAAATATCTAAGAGAATCGGACGCCTATTACGAGAGTGGAAATACCATAGCTATTGCCTCTCAAAGTAGATAGTTTGTGAATCACAAACTTGTAGCTCCCCTTCCCGTCTCTTCTAGCAAACGAAAGCACGCACAAAATTTCCACCACCATCAGTACTAACACCGTTGTTGTCCCCACCAGCTCATAATTTCTCGCCGCGTCAGTCTCAAGAACACCCCGCAACCTGCACAAACCGCTTAACTAGGTGCCGGTACTAGCTTTGATGGAAACAAAGGGGGCGATTTTCCACACAACACAATCGCTCGAAGAAAAAAAACAGGCACCACGCCCACCATGAACAACAGCCCTCCCTCCCTCGGTCCTGTGGGGACAATGCTCCGTCCTCGCGAGGACGCGCGGTAAATGGTCTAACCGTCAAGGCATGCAAAACATAAGAGTACGCCCTCCCCCCCCCACTCGCCTGGCCAAAACACGCGAGTACCCAGTCGGCATTCGCCCTTCTTTCTCTGCCCCCCCCACCTGTAGCCCTTGCCCTCCGACCACTCGGAGGTCCTTAACCTGGGGGTGTTCCGAAGCATCCACGATCCACATCTCGTGGATCACCCCCCGCACCCTCCCGCACCTCTCCGTCACCCCGTCATTCAGGGCCCCCATGCAACCCGCCTGTCAATAGAATAGAACAAACGATATCGCAGTAGCGCAACCTTAGACAACGACCTTGTGCGATTTATTGGCACGTATTGTATGAATATCAATTGTTGACATCTGAACGTACATCGCGGAATAACCCGTGGCGGAACACGCCAAGAGAATAAATGGTACTGGTATGCTACACGCAATGTTGGCCACAACGAAAACAACCCGGGACACGGCAGGGCTCTGGCCAACAGAAGTTTTGCATCGCACTGTGACAGCAGCGCAGGCGGGAATGCAACCCCATGTCGCGATAGTGGAATGACATAGAAGGATATCGGGGGGGGGTAACGCCGAAAGGCGACGGCGGTGGGGGGCGTGATAAACAACCATGACGTGTTGAGATTTGACTAATTCGGAATACCGCTGCTGCGAACAATTCAAGCAAGAAACAGGTGCGTTGCAAACAGCGGTGGCGTTAGATTGTCGCGTGCTTTTGAATCAGTCATTCTCGAAACGTACGCTTCTTGACTAATGGCAGTCATGTTGATGAGGGTAAGAGATATCACCACTTGTTCACCCATCACACCGAACCAACACAAACAACCACAGGTTTAGCAGCACCCATGGTGTTCATCACACATCACACACGCACCCCATGCTGCCCCCTCACGGGGTCCCAGTTCATGGCACATAAAAGTGTTTTGTGTTTTCAACCGCACTAAGACTGACGTCTTTTCATTGGTCAGTCGGGTAGCGCGGTCGATGCTAATAATAAACCGTACGAACATCGCAGAGCAAAGCAGGAACAGCTCGAGGCCTTCTTGCAAGGTCCTAATGCGTTGAAGGCTGATGGTATTGGTGACGGGCCCTCGATTGGGCAGATGGAGACGTACTGCAATACTCCTTGTTATAGATTCGTAGTGCACACGTCCTCGAGGCGCCCACCTTTATTTGTTGTGATTTTTTGTTTTGTAAAAATTGCGCAACACGCCAGCCACAATTTAAAAAACGGAGGGTCCAAGTCCAAACGCAAGAACACAGATGAATAAGAGTAAGTACAAAGCACCACAGTTGGGCATGAGAATCTCCCCACAACGGTATGTACCACTTTTCAAGTGCTGGGGTTCCGTATCAACAGTCAGTACAGCGATCGCGCCCAGCTGTGTATTGCTGCCACAGTGTACGGCCATCGAGTGATACATGTGAACAAAATAGATGTTTACCTGTGTGACATGCATACGATACTGCGCACGTATTCTTCTCGTCTTTCACCACTCTCTTTTCCCTGCAGAACAGTAGCGATTAAATCATCGATGCTACTGCTGCCTGTGCATATCATACGCGACGGCTGTAGTTGGGAACTGTTGTAGACTACTGCTGTAGATACAATCAACCAATACTCGAGTAGGGTCTGTGAAGGGGGTATGATAGGTCTCCAAAGCGGAGATTGAGCCACGCATGCCAGTAACCGAATACCGCTCGTTCTTAGGAAAAATGAATACAAGTACACAGCACAGAAGGACAACATGTGCCCATTCGAGTTCTTGCTGCATTCCATGGCCGCTGTAGAGATGCAACGACCACGTGTGGATACCCACGTCGTATGCAATTGGTCGTACGTAGTCCATGCCTACGTACGCCCCCGCTCGTCGTTGAAAACGACGCAAAAAACGCACCCGTCCCGCCCCGTTGACGCAAGTGTGGCCGCCATCCGCCAGCAGATTGCCCAGCTTGCGTGCCACGTCCAAGTAAGGTTGGGGAGTGTTCACTGGTGCATGACGGGGCAGCAGAGAGAGAGAGAGAGGGAGAGAGAGAGAAGCACGTGAATAGACCGGTGTAAAAAAAAAGAAGAGAGAGACACGTCACCCGCATGGGGTGTGTGGTCGTTATGAGAGCTGTGGACGAGGGCGCTAGCAGCGGCAGGCAGGCTACCCTAGGTACTCGCCAAACTAGGAGCAACCTGACCATGCTGGCTGTTTCCTGCGCGCGCGCGACGAGCTGGTCAGCTACATGAACAGCAGGCACTGCTGCAGCAGACCGTACAGCAGCGGAATAGTACCGTATATGACACAAGATAACACACCCCCTGGGCCGATTTTCAAAGCTCGATTTCTCAACAGCAGGAAGAGTCACAGCGCCGAAAACGGCGGCGTTGGAACCGTTTCGTCGAGAGGTTTTCGAAAATGTATTGTTTCGTTTATGCATCCTCTTCGTCGTGGAGTAATCGAGCTTTGAAAATCGGTCCAGGGGGGGTGTTATCTTGTGTCATATACGGTATTACTCAGAGGGAGTCTTGCGATCGATCCTTCCTGCCAGCAAACAGCAACCGACCAACTTGGGAAGAGGGTCTGCCCACGTCCATCGATGAATAGGCGATAGGGGCAGAAAGAGACGGAGACAGGAAGACAGAGAGCAGCGCGGCGACTCTTCGAGACAAATCGGAAACTCCGACAAGCAAGGGTTAGGAAAGCAATGCTGCGCTGTCAGGGCTCGAGAGAGGGGCGGAGAGTAGAATAGGAAAAGCCGGGGGGGGGGAAAGAAAGGAGAAATCAAGACCGCAGAGAAAAAAGTACAAAAACAATGATAAACAGCAA